GCTTGAAAATTTAATAGAAGGCTCCTAACATGTTGTTTCAAAGGCAGATGAAAAATATTAAAAATCCTTAGTCACAATTTTTTTTTATAAGCATTTAAAGTTCAAAAATTTACAAAATATGGAAAAATCACGAAAATTAGCAAATTATTTTGAGTTAAGAATTCGTAAAAATTTTTCTTTTTAAATCTAAGATTTGAAAATCTAATACAATATTCCTTATAAGATTATCTACCTTTATCAATAAAAAAATCTCTACCGGACAGTCAAGTTAAATTTTTATGAGCGTTTGAAATTAAAATTTTTACAACATTGGATATTCACTCGATTTCTCATGTAGCGATTTCCTTATTTTGTTGTAATTCAAAAACGAATAACTTTAGATACATGAAAATTTCACTGAATATTTATATTAGCATTTCCTATACACCATACAATTTTGAAAATATTTTTACTCTTTTTGAGCTGTTTATGGACATTTACATCTTTCAATTTTTAAAGATCGAATTTTGACAAAATGTATCAAAATCTCGAAAATTATAAATCATTGTAATTAATAAATTATAAAATGTTCAGTTTTTATAGCTAAGGATTGCAAATTTAAAACAAAGGTACTCATAAATAGTTCATACTGTAACCAAAAAATCTAAAAAATATATGAACACAGTTATTTTTTACAGAAATTTTAAATTCAAATTTGGACGAAATTACATATTAAAAAACCTAGAATAACTATTTTAGTTATTTTGTTGTGATTGAATAATGTTATTCGTGAGTACTTGAAACTTCTAAAGTGTGCTATTATATATCTATGATAGTATCACGGTATGTTGTTGATGTATAACGCGTTATCAGCACCTAATGGATATTGTGATATGATTAATTTGGAATTTATTATAGGTACCTACTAGCTATTATAGGTCAATTTTTTTTCTAATACCATAGATATGTATACAATATTATGTCTTATACCTAGACTGACATACCATCTCCGCTCAGAATCGTTTTTCTTATACAATGATATTATATCATTGAATTCAAATTTAATACCATCCATTATACAGTGACCCACTTGTAACCTACTGTACAGCAGAGCGACACCCACTTGCCCACCTTTTTGGCTATGATTCCTATACACATATAATAATATTAAAACAATTACCCACATAATAATAATAATAAATTAATACTATTCATACATTATAAATACTGAAAAATAATTCATAATGAAATATTTTATTTATTTTATTATTGTGCCTATACACCTTTAATATACAAATTATTTCAATTTTTAATTTACTCATAGCTAATACGATATACCAAAATATAAAAATGTGAAATGTGAAATATAAGTTTTGGTAGTATTTATTTAATTTTAATTTGAAAGCGTTGTTGTAAAAAACTCAAAATTTCAATTAAATTCTAATTCATGCCATAATAATATTATAAAATTAAAATTAATTAATTAAACTCACTGTAGGTACTTTTTAAATAATGTACCTGGACTTTTGGTTGTTATCTTTTTGTGAAGCTCTCGTATATAATTGCCACCTGTATTAAATGATACTATAGCAGTACAGCAGTATATATTCTAGTGGTGTACGACTGTTTTTGAGAAAAATTAATTCGTTTACCGCCTATGTGCTTATTAATGACACTATTAAACTGTTCGCAGATGTTGTTATCAACATCAAGTAATAAACTTTTTGCATTATCAGCAACACGTCTAAGTGCAGTTGTAATTTCTTTCATCAAACCACTTTGCATTACTTCGTCGATCAAATTCAGTTCGTATAACTTTCTTCCAGTGCAAAAATATCGGGCACAATTAAAGTGTTTGCCAAATATATGGTATGGACTATTTAAAATATCCTTTCGCAAATTATATTCAATTTATAATATGTACCACTTTACCTGGTTGTGGCTTAGATTGTCTACATTGAATGATTTCTGTTAATTGTTATAAATGGTTTTTTGAGTACCTACCTATTTCTTTTTTTTATCATACCCAAATTGTTCGATAATTCAAGTAATACGGCCTATTTAAATAGTTTACAGCAAAACTACCTATTATAAAAGTTTTAGAGAAGAATTTTTTCAACAATTGAAATAAGCTCGATTTTTTATATTTTTATTAATAAGTTAAATAATTAATCGATAAAAAGTAAAAAAAAAAAATGTTAATTTACCATGCGATATTGGACGATTGGAATACGATATCAAAAATCGGATTTATTACGATTGTTAAAAAAATTCTCCTCTACCACTTTTATAATAGGTATTTTTACTGTAAACCTCTTCAATAAGCCGTATTAATTGAAGAACAAAAGTAGTTTTTATTTGTATAAAATTCGGATAAGAAGAGTTTGGCCTAGTGAACAAAATATGGTTTCGTAATTCAAGTAATACGGCTTATTGAAGCAGTTAACAGTAAAAATACCTATTATAAAAGTTGGAGAGAAGAATTTTTTTAATAATCGAAATAAGCCCGACTTTTTATATTTTTATTAATGAGTTAAATAATTAATCGATAAAAAGTAAAAAAAAAAAAAATTGTTAATTTATCATGCGATATTGGACGATTGGAATACGATATCAAAAATCGGATTCCTTACGATTGTTAAAAAAATTCTCCTCTACAATTTTTATAATAGGTATTTTTATTGCAAACCGCTTCAATAAGCCGTATTACACTATTACCTACTTGAAGAACAAAAGTATAGTTTGTATAAAATTCGGATACGAATACAAAATATAAAATCGAACCAAATTAAATATTATTTGTCACAATTAATATAATAATCATTTTCTTATCTGGTTATTTATAAACTATGCACGGGCGGTCGGCTGCGATAGAGAACCTGTTTTGACACCGGTGCGGTACCGCCGTTAATGCGCGCGGGGTGGTGGTATGCACAGCTAGTATCGAACGCTGCCACTGACTACGGGCGCAGCACTTGCCGAGCGTAATTTTCTGCAGTTTTCTTATAAAACATACTTTGCGCGTTCCAATAATATGGGTTACTGAGTGGCTTAATCGTAAAAACACCTATGAACAAAATTAAAGATAATAATATTTTCAAGGGCCCCACGTAGGTTTTTTTCTTTGTTCCAAATATTAAGCTCAGTACATCGTTTAAAAATAATGATTTTTTCAACATGTTAAAATGACAGTAACTTTTCAAAAAATTAATTTTTTGAAAAAAGGCTACGTGGGGCCCTCGAAAATATTATTATCTTTAATTTTGTTAATAGGTGTTTATGTCCTAAAACCACTCTGGAGTGCAAAATTTGGAATCTAAGCGAGCATGTTTTTGGTATTGAAAACGCCGGTACTACGTCCTCTTAATTACCTACACGTTTTTTGTTACAACTTGAAACCATGTAAAAATATACTTTCAAAAAAATTAATACTTTTTGAAATAACGAGTGGTTTATAATTAAAGAATCACTCTGTATAACTTTAAGAGGACTTGATAGCCGCATGTGTTGTCTCCGTCTTACAAGTGCATATTATCCATGTTTATACACTTTAAAATGTACAAACAATTTACAATTTTAAAATACTCATAACTGGCTTTAAAATTAAAATATATTAAAAATCCCATGAGGTTGTCAAGATAATAATCTTACCTTTAGATTTTATAAGAGGTCAATTCACTCTAATTTTTAAGCTAACGGAGCTGCTTTAAACTGCTTTGCGTATAATTTGCTATGTTACTCACTTGTAAGACGGAGACAATACATGCGGGTATCACGTCCTCTTGATGTACCATTGTCCGAATGTCCGCTATACTCACGGACTAAGATATATCTTAGTCCGTGGCTATACTATTATATCATAATTAATAATCAGTATAGTTACACAGTAGTTACTACAGTAGGATAAGGCTAGTATTTTTATTAATCAAACAATATTGATATTATAATAATATAAGCGCATAGTAAATTTAACTATAACCAATATTATTATTGTTATTGTTAACAATGTTAACGTACCTAAATCCTATTAGCTCGTAATTATTGGACATTGAACATTACAGAAATAATTTGCGATAACTGACATCGCACCGACAATAATACAAATCCACATACAATTTATATATAGATATTATAATATTCTATAGGTGGGTGTAACTTAAAAATATAAACTATCTGTTTTTGAAACAACATGTATGATTACGTGTGGTATTTGTACGTGAATAAGTAGTAGGTACTACAGTATGATAGCTGTAGCTGTATAAGTATAATATATATATTATGAGAAGGTATATTATCGTTATAAGCGTGAGTAAATAATAAATACACAGGGTGATTCACCAAGCATGTTCCCCTCAACAATTTAATCTTTAAAATAATGAATTTTTGTAAGTATACTATGCCTAATATATAGATTATTTATATTAATATTTATAGTAATTCAATATATAAGTATGATGCGATACAAATTAATTTTTTCAAATAAGAACTTAAACTTTTTATGTGGTTTGTTAATTAAAGCGTTTTTTTTTTTTTTAATATTGAAAGCTTTTAAATGGAAATTCGAACGAGTAGTTTCTTAGTTATTATTCTCTATGTCGGATAATAGTCTTTTATATTACAGTTTATAGTAGTTTTACATAAAATATAAAATTAATTTTGGTAATAAATAATAATATACTTAGCCGAGTACTGAGTAGTAATCTACTTATTATAAACGGACAATTTTTACAATTTATAAAATTATAATTAATTACTTAATATTAATATTAAAACAATTTTTAAATTATCATAGTCTTACTTTGGTATCTTCTAAAACTATTATCACGAACTAATATTATAATATATTATATTAAATTATATTATCCTTAGAGCTTAAATTTAATCAACATGGAAACTCATTCATATTTCGATTAATTTATTAAGTATATTCTATAAGATATAGTGCTTAAGTACCTAGGTACTTATAAAAAGTCAAAGTTTTAATAAATTAAAAAACCCAGTATACTACGGAAACAACGAACCTTAAAGTTTTCGAATTCTGCTTTTCTATCAATGATCTGTTCCGTATTTTTGCCATAAATGCGAACCAGCACACCTTCATCTTCTGGACGCGAATCGTTGAACAAACCGACCAACTTGTTAGTAATACCATCTGTGAACAACTAATGTTTTATGCACAATATTTCGATTAGTTTAATTTTAGATTTTTTGTAAACCATCAAAATAAATAATACTGTGATTTAGCTTAGAATAGCTTATAAATATATTTAGTATAATATGCGATATATACGAGCGTTGTCGCACATTATATAATATTATAATATGTATTTATTACTATTGGTTTTTTTTTACCTTGTATCGGATTTTTTCCAAATCCCAGTCTGGTCTTATTAGTTTCAATATAATTTGAGATCCGCTCTCGATGGCGTCGTCTTCAACAAAGATGGGCAAGTGAGGAATAGTAGACATTTCGAACGGTCGAGAAGCTAATATTATGTTATAAAATAATTTGTATGTCTATCGACACACGACGCACGATGTAAAAGGTGGGACTCGTGTGATGCCGTGATACCAATCATAAACCAGAAATATTTGGCTTCTGATCTGGCCGACCACTTTTTCCCTCTTATTTCAAACCAATATCATTATATATTGATTAACGCGATAGAAAAAATATATATCTACACATTATTTTAGATACACGTGTAATGGAATCTGTAAAATAAATAAAAGTATAATAGTTTTAAATATATGTATAATGTATAAACAAGTATTGTATTTATATAATCATAATGGTGGGACTTGGTATAGTAGAGCTAGTAGGTATATTTTACTATATTTACTACCTATATTTTATAACAATACTTATGTTATTATAACATGTAATGATCCACGATCATTGAGACATATTATGACAATAATATAATCGAGTTTGACTAAAAAAGGCGAGGTAAGGTAAAAAGGTACATATTATTATATTATGTAATATTCGTTCCTTGATAGTTGTTTCCGAACTGGCTACATTATAATGTATCTAAGAAACCATGCGACCCGATGACAGGGAACTTATTGGAATTACAAATAACTATTAGCAGGTTTATATATCACCCGAATAGTTTTATTGAGCACATTACTCGAGTTGAATAAAGTTATATTATCAGGGCTTGCATTTGAAAAAAAAATCCGTTTTACGTTACACAATTTTTGCGTTTATCGTTATTCAGAATTAAAACGTTATCCAATTTTTGGGTTTATCGTTATTCAGAATTAAAACGTTATCCAAGTTTTGCGTTTATTATTATTTAGAATAAAAACGTTATTTTACCCGACATTTTCCAACAATCCAGTAAGTAGTTTACTACTTATTTTTTTTCAACATCGTTAAAAGTAAATTATAATTTATTATTTATTAATATTTAATATTGGTATAAATGGTATTCTATATACCTAACACTTAGGTATTTTATATAATTACGTTGGAAATTTTAACCGAATAAGTTAACAACCTAAAAACAAAAATAATTAACTAGTTAAGTTAAAAAGTTAAAAAAAATTAACTTTTTAACAAGTTAATGCCCACATCTGCATTTTCAGTACTTGGGTAGAAATTGTTCTAATCATGATTGCGTTATTTGTTTTAATATGTAGCTAATATAAATAAAACGGATGTTTATATACTTTAACACTCACAAGAGAACTGCAGTAGTACAGACTACAGAGTGAATACAAAATAAGTCTATACTCCATATTTCTACAGCGAAATTATCGGGACATCATTAGTCATAATTAATAATAATAATTATTATTATTATATTATGTATTTGCTTTTTATCAATTCAATTTAAAAATTATCAATAACTTCAAAAAAATGAGGGAAGGTAATGTCCCGGAATACGGAATACAATATAATCAATTCTTAGATTTTTTTCTAAGACAAAAATAAATAGCATGAAATAAAACATATGTCAACGAAACCAATAAGTACCTTACTTTTAAATAAATAGATTTTGAATTTTCAAATAATTTTATTTAATGATATTCTATAAATTACGTTTTGCCATATTTTTTGTTTAACGATATATTATATATTTTGTTATTCGTTATGCTTTGTTTAGAGGTATTTAATTATTTTTGATTATCGCTTTCCGATATAATTACGTTTACAAATTTCAATCGTTATTTGTCAAATATAACGTTATAAATGTTATAACTTATAATCATAACGTTATTATAACGTTTGCAAGCCCTGAGTTATTATATATTTCTTCAATATAACCCAACATCCTACATTTATTTTAGTATTATTTACGAATTATGAATATTATGATATAATTGATATACTTAATACATAAATACGTTACTGAGAAGTGTCTGCAGTGCACTTTATGTAAAATTTGAAATTATAAAATTGAAAGGTACATAATATTATGTAGGTATTTATAATTATTCTACAACATATGACATTTGAAAAATATAATATTTAACGCATAATTTATTATATTATAAATGTAATGGTAATCTGTGCAGTATATAGAGCAATGGAAGTATATTATTGGTTGTACAATGATTACATTATCACGATATAACTACTATACAACTAATATATATATACGACTAATATAATTATATTACACTGAAGTCGTATATAGGTATATATTATATTAGTATTAGGTATAAGTAATTCAATATAAGGCATTGCTCCGGTTTAGGAACAATCATTATTATTTATTACTGAGGATTTGAAAACATTTTTCAACAGTTTTGAAACCTATTCTTCAGTATTTCAAGGTTTACAATTTTAACTGCATAACTTAATACGCATATTTTTTATTAGCTTAATTAGTAATCAATGCCAAACTAATGCGCGGTCTCTCAATAATTGAAACATAATAATTTAATATTTATATGTTTTATAACTACCAATTAAAACGTTTTATAGTAGCAGTATGTATATTTATTATACTGTATTTTTTGTCAACTAAATAAAATACTTAATGATAAACGAATCGAATACATTTTAATATAATACTATCTATAAACAAATGATAAATTATCTATTATACTGAGTGATTCTTTTAAATACTCAGTAACCGCAGTATCTCTAAACTCTAAAGTATTATCGTTTTTGAAAAAAAATTTATTTTTTAAACGACAACTGACATTTTAGATTGAACGGATCGACGAATGTATTGATTTCACGATGATGTGTGTTTTTTCTGTCTGTCATTATATATTTTGAGGCAAAAAAAAGCTACGATTTTTAATTTTTGAAAATGTCCAAGTATAATGAAAATCAAATTTCGATTAAATAGTTAATTAGTTATATCTAATTTATAAACATAATATAAATTATAATAACTTTCAAGTATTTAAAGTTTTGACGATCTGATGAGTAGTAGCAAAAATTATGCCAGGGTATTCTTGTAGTTTGTACATTGTACTACTTAATAGCTATATGTAGATCTTAAAAGTAATCATATAGTTTTTAAGTTTATCCTAATTACTATAAGTTATAACTATATAGTCGAGAGAATGAAAAGTGGCCGCTGATGGTGAATTTCTGTAATGGTTTTGCAGAACGCGCATTTATTAACATGAGATTTAGATATTATAATTACCTAATACAAATGTATTATAGAATGATGCTGTATATAAGTTTTAGTAGGTACCTACCAATGTTTTCCGAAGAAAAAAAAAGGTTGCTATCATATCACTAGTGGCCACTTTTCATTCTCCCGACTATAGTTCTGATCAAGTATAATAAATTCTATAATTATAAATGTCTGTAGTTTTTCAAAAAATTAAAAAAACTTAATATATAACAATAAGAAAAAATAATATAGAATAATGTTATATTATTTTATGATAATTTTAATATTATATGGAATAAAACATTAAACAACATTAATACCCAGATGCTTTTGGAGATAATTAGTGTTTACTGGAATCACGTTGTACACTTGTACCTATATCTAACTAAGTTGATTAAATTAAGATTCATAATCTATTTTAATTTTCTGAAAAATATATTTACCTTTGAATGTCCTCAGAAAGTAATTTTGCAATGCGAAATGTCTACAAGTAATTAATTCGTGTTTGATCATAAATTAACACCAAAACATAGGTACATAATCATAATGATGGAATTATTTAAAATAAATGTAGTAAAAAATGTAACTTGTATGTTAAGTTAGGTATGGTTAACTCCGTGAGAAGAATTTATTTTATAATTAATCAGTTGAAATTAGGTATCTATACATTTTTATTATTTTGTTTTATATCGATAGATACAACTTTTTTACGTTTTTTAATGTTCTTCTTCGGCGATTGTTTATTTTTATTAGAAGTAATGTTTATATTTTTCTTTATATCATAATTTGTAACGTTCAAAGATTCAGCGTTTTCATTAATTGCTTGGGAGTTTATTTGATTAGTTTTCTCAATATTTAATGGTTTATTGAACTCTTGCATGTTTGCGTTATCGTTGCAAACAGATTTTATATTGCTTTCTGTCGACTTAATTTCCTCATTTTCAGTTGATGTTTTACCTAAAGTTATATAGTTCGATAATAATTTTTAGAAGTGTCTTTCAATGAATTAACATAAAATGTTTATAATAAGCAGGGTTGGGATATAAATGCTTATAAAATGCTTGAGAACTAAGCTTAAAATTTGTTTAATGATTTAGAGAACTGAAATTAAAATTTGAATATTTTTCAGTTTTTAATATTTTAGTGCTAATTTTGGATTTTTTTTGGATTTAACTTGTTTTTTTTAACAAAAATTGGCCATTTGTTAATAAATAACATTTGAATAAACATGTTTTGGATTATTGTCTAATTTTAAAAGAAAATATACTATAAACCAACTACACAAACGCTTTAACGCGACGAAAGTATTGTATACTGAGAACATGTTCTCGTACTATACTAAATGCGTTTTCGGTAAACGTGTTGTGGTTATTATTCTTTGTCGCGTCTTAACTTGTATATAACTTGGTTTTAAAATGCAAATTTTTGAAAATTTTTGTTTTATTTATTGTATATTTTTACCGCATACTTACCGATATTTAAGGAAATATAGCATATATTTATGCAATTTTAAGAGGACGTCGCACCTGCATGTGTTGTCTCCGTCTTACACACATACGACATAGCAAATGTTCGTTGGCTAGTTTCAATAGGGTATTGTCAGTTTTTATATTAGAGTGAATCGACCTATTATCAAACTTTTAGGTAACAACATTATCTGTGTTCCCTAGTTGGTATTTTTACGATATTTTAATTTTTAAGTGAGTTATGGGTATGTTAAAGTATTCATATTCTAAAATGTTCATAACTCACTTAAAAATTAAAATATCGTAAAAAACGAACGAGAGAACACAGATAATGTTGTTACCCAAAAGTTTGATAATAGGTCGATTCACTCTAATATCAAAACTGACAATACCCTATTGAAACAAGTCAACGAATATTTGATATGTCGTACGTGTGTAAGACGGAGACAACACATGCGGGTGCGACGTCCTCTTAAATGCTTTAAAATCCCAACCCTGATAATACTATAATAAGGTACATTATATACTTTATGAGTTATATGGCAATACTTATCACTTAGTGTACTTACTACAAACGTTGTTTTCATTAGCTAAAATCGAGGCTAAAGTGGTGAACGAGTCTTTATTAATAACATTTTTGTATACTTCGTGCAGAGGTGCATTGTCCATGGGTCGCCTTAAAGGGGAGGTGTTTTTTTTAAATGTATTATCTACCCTTGATCTCACAATTTCTAACTTTCTCTTCAGTATTCCTAACTTTTCATTTGGGTATAGTAACTCTTCGTTGTCGTATTCAGAAAATATTGTATATTGAAGTGTTGGTTTTAGATTTTCTAAATTCTCTTTATTGTTTTTATCTACGTTTTCTGTGTTTGATTCGGACATTGTGTTAAAAATGTTGACTGTTAATATTGTTTGTGTTTTACATAGGTAATGTGTATTATATAAATCAACAACTCAACGTTACCATGCCTATAAATTGTTATGAAATACAGGAGTTATATAGAACATACGTCATGTAAATATTACTTATACCTACAAGTTAGGGTAAAACATTGCTCTTCAAAACTATAGTATAAATCAGTATAATATAATATAACATATCCCGGTTTCTCTAAGTTGTGATAGAAAAGAATACATAGTACTATATTAAAATATAGTAATTACCTAACAAGTAATTAATTTAAGTAAATAATTTCTAATAATAAAATTAACTTAATTTACAGACTATCATCAAATAATAATTACATTGTATGTATCGTATATAGTAAATAATAAAATATAGTGATAACAAGTTTTAAGTCCCTACGAATTATATTTTTTAAATAAATTACACGAATATACCTAACTAAAACTGTTATTTTTTATTTAAATATCTAATTTTGTCAAAATTTGGACTTGAAATATATCTATAAAAAAAATTGAGCATAATATTATAACATATTATTATGTTTATTAGGTATTTAATTAATTGTTTTTAATGTGTTTATTAAAATATTAATAAATCTTAACAATCAATGTTTCTTTAGCACAAATAAAAACAATTACATACAAAATATACAATAAAATTACTAATATATATTTTTTTTTAAAATTAAACTAACTATTATTTAAAATAATTAAAAAAAATATTTTAGGCAGCAGTATTATACAGGGTGATTCTTTTATCATTGAACACTCATTATTTCAAAAAGTATTAATGTTTAAGAAAATATTTTTTTACATAGTTTCAAGTTGTTAAAAAACAATATTTTTAAATATTTTTTATCCTTTTAATTTTTTAAGTTTTTTACTTTTTTGAATGACAACATGTAATTTTAATTTGATATTCAAAAACAGAATATTTTTCTGAGTATTTCGATACATAAAAATTGAATTTAGGGCAATTAGTTTATGAGTTATAAGTATTTAAAGTTTTGATGAGCGGAGTAGAGTGGTACGGGGTTACCCCGCGAAATGTTTGTCCACTACTCCGCTCATCTATTGTTATGATTCAACGGGGGCCAGGGGGTTTTTGCACCCCTAGCACCCCCGGATGTTGCGGCAGTGATTCATTATATGATTAAAGCTAATTTCACACAATTGGAACTAATGAATACACTCCATTAGCCATGTCGTTCGTTTGTAAGACCATTGATTATAATCGATGGTAAGACGGAGAAAACCCGGAAACACATACCTACGGGTTTGGAGTCCTCATAATACTAATATTATTTTTTATAACCATATTATAATTTATAATATTATATCGTAATAAATAATAATAGGTATTAATATCGTGCTTACTTGTTGGATGATCTTTTTGGCGGCGGTGTTCTACTGTAGTTCTACATATAGGCCAAATGGTTGGACTCTAATCGGATTATTCGACCTACTGCTCCAGCAGAGGCCGCATCCTGAGCTCCTAATTCTGTTGGACTTGGCTGTCCCCGTGAGCAGAGAATTTAAATGAGTATTGGGTATCGGAACAAACGGAACACTACACGGTAACTGACCCTGACGTACTGAACACTACTGACCATTGACCCAAATTAAATGAATTGTGTGTATCATATAATAAAATATAATATGCACGTGCCATATTATCGTAGATTAAAATATATAATAAATTATTTTATTTCTTTATAATACCTAATATATTATTTTAATTAACACGTACGTAGTATGAAACATTCAATTTCAATATTATCATAATATAATATTTTATCTTTGCGGGACGTTGTTTACTATTGTATGTTCGTGGTTTACAGATATTGTTATCAATTTATCATGAACTTATCTATAAAGTATAAACATAGAATACTATGGTATAAACCTTGCAAGTGATAAGCACCTGTCCAAAAATGATAAGAATGGTTATTGCACTTATTACGAAACTTGGGGCCAGATGCCAATAAATCATATTATTATTCAAACCACACTGGACAGCTGCTGCTGGTGCTATTAAAATCAGCGGCGGATCCAGAATATTTTGACAGGGAGGGCAAAATAATCATTCTCGTAAAATGTATTTAAAAATATAATAAAATAAAATAATCTAATATATAATATTACTATCTATCTTAACTTCTTAACATAACTTCTTATATTAACTTATATATTAGTATATTACAAACTTAATTCTTAAATATCTAATTGAAGTTTTCTATTATGTTTTGTAGAAAATATGTCCAATACTTCTTCTGGGGCTATTTTAATATCTTTATTAATATTAAGCATTGCTAAGCCGTTGAGCCTACTCTGGTTCATTGTAGACCTTAAGGGCCGTTCTTACGACGTCCGGTAAAAGTTAACCGACACTTTACCGGACATTGTAAGAACGGCCCTAAATATGTTTTTATGCGTTTCAACGAACTGAATGATCGTTCTGAAGTCGATGTTGTAACGGGTATAATACATAATATTTTTAACAGGCACTCAATATTAGGAAACATATATGCAGATTTATATTCTTTTAATTATAAAATTAATTATCCTTAAATATATTTTAATATAAAAATACAAAAAATTATATAATTTTATATTCAATATTATCAATAGGTACCTACAGATTCTAAAAATTGAAATAAAATAAATACTTACATTGATTATTAAGATGTTTCCTCACAAGATGTTTGTGAACCAATGTACGGTATTACTTGTATATTTTGTCACAATAAGTTATTATGTGTAAGAAGAAAATATAATAATAAGATTAGTGAAATAATAATGCTTTTAAATTATAACAATCGGAAAAACAGCGATAAGCAGTCCGACGCGTGGTGGTGGTGCTATGCTGGGAGTTCCAGAGTCCGACAATAGAAAAATATATTATATTATAACATATTCAAATAAAACATTTATGAAAGCTATAAAACATAAAAATTTTCCCAGTCATTTTTTTTAGATCCCACTTGACAGGAGGGGCACGTGCCCCTGTGCCCCCCCCCCCCTGGATCTGCCTCTGATTATTATTATTATGTTAGTGACAAAGTGTATGGAACCATCAAAGGCGGAACTGCATATGATTGAAGTCTGGATTTTCCTCAGACCTCAAGGGAGATGAATAGATTAATTCAATTATTGCACTCAAGACTCTAGACCAGGCAATGGCGTAGTTAGGGGAGATGATAGGGATAGAACCCCCTCAGAGGTTTAATATTCTGAATGGTGCAATAAATGTATTGATGTTATCCAAAAAAATGTTTGTGCCTGTACCTATACACAGTATACAGATTTTATTACTTTATACGATTTTCATCTTTGAGAATAGTTTCTGATAAAAAATTGAATCTAGTTTAAACTTTATTATTTTATACTTAAAAGTTAAAAGTAAAATTGAGAGTTCTTAGAAAACTTTTTAAAAATAATTAACTTTTTTAAAGAATCGGGGAAAAAAAAAAATTAAGGACAAACGGGAACTTAGCAAAACCAGTTTTCGACCAAGCCGATTTTATTTTTGTTTTTTGATTTAATTCAAAATAGATACTTTAAATTTCCCACCAATTATTGTTTATTTTATTATTTTCTATACATGATATATCTTAGTCCATGCTAATAAACAATGATAAAAATTTATAAATTAAAACTCTAGAACCTGGTAGTCTATGAGGTCATGTACATTTATAAATTGACTGGGAAAATGGTGAAGTATATGGATTTGATATATCGTATAAAACTTATAAGTATATATTATGTATTATATACTAGACTGTAGGTAAAAAAAATAAGTTAGAGCATATTCATTTAAAAATGTATTATCCAACACTTTATTTTGTTTTAGTGGAACTCTTTATGATTAAAACTTACACATAAAAACAATATATATATAATATATAAAATTATATTGGTATAATTTAGTGACATTTTACATACATGTAATTTTTGTTGCTTTTACGTATATTATATAAAAACGCTTTACAAATTTGAAAAAAGAGAAAACAAAAAAAAAAAAAAAATATATATAAAAACATAAAACGCACCATTTAAAAAAAAAAAAAAAAAACAGTAACCAGTATACTTTGACAATACATAAATAAATATATAAGATTATTTACATTAATAACAGTTGTTTTTGCTTAAATTTAAATAATATAAAATTTAAATGCTCGGTGTATTATCCGTGTACTAAAATAAAAATAAATAATAATGTGATAGTTATTGTGAAAATTAATTTTTAAAGAATAATTATTTAAATAAAAATTCATTAAATATAATATGTATATTGTATTTGTATGTCAGTGGTAATGTGACAAAATAATAAGAATAAAAAAAGTGAAAAAAAAAAAATTAAACATAATAGTACTTTTTTTTACAATATTTCTACCTCAATGTAGTCACAATGTTATTGCACCGTTTTTTTTTTCATCAAAACAATATTGTCAAAAACTTTTAAATATATATATATGCATATAATATTATATTTTAAAAACAAATTATACTTCATCAAGACTATAAAACAATGTTGATATTTAAAAACATACCAAACTTTTAAAGCATAATAGGGTAATTGACAACCTAGAAATGATAGGGATGAGCACAAGTTTTGAATGATGAAAACATGGGGGGAGGGTATGAGCACATTTAAGCGATAGGACAAATGAGATCAAAACAATTTTTTAGAAAATACATTTACTGTCAAACATGTGACTCAAGAGGTACATTCAATAGTTTAGACACAAAGTTTGGGTCGGCCATGCTTCTGGGTCTAATACCTCTTTCTTTTATTCCATCCACAACACGAGCCCAACTAAGGTCTGGTGAACTGGTTCTTCTATCTTTGCAGCTTTTTTCTAATTCTTCTCTTTCCTTATTGTCCAACCATGTGATCTTATCAAAGTCCTTTGTACCACCTACTGTATGCCGCCTCTTGATGCTGCGATCAGTTGTAACACCGTTTTTACGTTTTTGGCGCGCTTCCTTATCGCGCAATGAACTACAGCGTCTAGACAATCCTTGTTTTCGCTTGTTCATGTTGCACTCGGTCTTCTCCGTCTTGGTGAGGGAGTCAGATCGCCGGTGTTTGGAAGCGTCACCGTTTTTTGTCAGCATCATTGCCTCAAACTTTGTGTATTTAGATATATATCTTTCGTGTTTATTCAGTGACTCACAACGACGTAGTTTTACATGATTCCCATAGTCTGGACGGTTTTCTTTTTGTTTCAATGACTCGGAACGACGCAGACGCACACTTGGATTGGTGTTGATGTCTTGAAGACATTCAAAATTATCAATTTTTGAAGAATCTTTTATTGATTCACTAGTTGAATCTTTCATGGTTTCAATTTCCTGTAATACAAAATTATAAAAATTATTATCAAGTCAATACAACAATCGTTAACATTTACTTACATGTTTTTCGGTTATATGCTGGCTGCGCCTTTCCAATGATCTATGTAAGCTTGGGTCTCTGTAAGTCTGCACATCTGTTTGTTCATCACTTGATATAGCCACTGACGGTTTTTCTTCAACATCCACAGAGTCACTGGGTATTAAAAGGGATTTAAGTTTTTTGTCAAAAGCGGAGGTCAGGCTCACCAATAAATCCCCTCCTGGAAAATCAAACACAAAACTCTTATCATGCAACACAAGGATAATGCTTAACACATAGCAGGTTCAGCAAACCATTCAATTATAATGTTAGATAGTCTACAACATTATGGTAACACACAGTTAAAACAACTATACATAACACTGAGAAAAAACAGTTTGTCAGCCATTACCACAATTAAAATGAAAACCAAAAAGAATAAAATTTACTTAAGTAAAAATAAAATAAAATTCATGAGCTATTAAATAACAAAGAGTGAAATTCTTTATATTATGTATATACACTCAAAATGTCAAAAAGTAACTTAATTAAAAATGAATCCTCAAAATAGTTAAAATGAAAGTTTTAGCTAATTCGTTAGTGCATAAATATAAGTAAAACCGATGTTTTTTTTTTTTATACGGTCAACATATTACAGTAATTAAAAATTTCAATAACCACTTAAAACTATAACAGATGCCATTTGATTGAAAAGAAAACATTGAGCTGATATACATTTGTTGTAGTATATTCATTTTTTAGGTCATGAATTTAAAAAATAATTTTTTTAAATTTAAAAACGAAATTGATGATTATATTTTAATATTATGTTCCAGGTGTATTTAAATTCATTCAATTAGTATAAAAGTGCAAAATGAAATATAATTAGCAGTTAAACAGCTAATATAATGAAGGACTTTAAAATGATAAAAGAAGAATGTCGATATACAAAATACACGGTTTAAATGTAATCAACAAATATTTAGAGTTACATATATTATTACTATCAGCACAACATGCAAATGTATTAGCCTTACAATTAGATTTTCGAAATACCAGTTAGTGGTCTAATGATCCTATCTAAACCATCTGATTCTCAAAGAGTTTTAGAAGTGCGCAGGGCAAACAAGTCAGTCGAGCCCAGACTATATCATCCAAGATTAGGTAGCCAGTAATTAGCCAGGTAGGTATATGATATTTTTATCGTATTTGCTTATTGTGATATGGCATGGATTGTAAATTAAATGTAAATATTCGGTTTAAACAAAATAAATAAATAAAATAAATGACTTAAATTTAAACTTATCTTAAATTATTCTATATGAATTTAACATAACAATTTAAAGAAATTAGTCAACTAGCCCAGCCTTTAATTTAATATATATGTATCTAAATGATTTTAGGTGAGTAATAATTATATTATATTAGTCTTAGATTTTAAAATCAAAGAAATTTGAAGACATATTTAAAAATAAAATAGTACCTAATTGGTAAATAATAATAAAATTAAGTGATATTCAAAAATTGCAAGTAAATAGAAGCAGAAAATTAGTAGAAAAAAAAGCAAAACCATGTTAATTGATCAAGTCATTTGAGCTAAATGTATAAGAACCTTTCAGGTTGGTAGTAGTAGTAATGCGGATACTGGTTAAGGGATGTGCCAAAAACCCATCCTTGTCGTTTGTTACTTAAGTGCTGATGTATGTTACCATTTGCTGTAAATTTTGTCAATGAATCTCAAACAAAAATGATTGAGCCGGACGTGCGGTGCACGCGATCGGTAAATTACTTTAAGATTACGCAATAGTAAACCTATTTCAGTGTATACAAAGCACAACACTATTTTTTCAAGATAATTTAAAATTATAATTATTCCCATTATTATTACCACTTTTCTTAACACATTTTGGTTATGGAATAATGATTTAAAATACATATTTATACATAATATTTTATGCAATACGGAAACTAATAATTTTGAACATCAGTTTTATAATTATAATTACTATTGCGAACTCTGTAACATAGACCTAATAAAAACTTATTTTTACCTTCATCTGATGCGTGACTTATAGGACGTTCATTGGATATTCTTAAACCATCACTGAGTGAATCTACCGACCATTCATCAGCATTCTCAATACTAGTTTTTAATCGTTTCTGATTATTTTTTAAGTCTGAGTCATTTGATTGTTTATTAGTTCCATTGGTTGTTCCTTTGGATACTTTCACCATGACTTATGGGAAAAAAATTACAAAATTAACAAAATAATGATTAAATTCTAGTAAGAAATTTACCTGGTGAATAATCTTTAGCTAGCATTAATGCTTCGTTCGCTTGAGTAACAGGCTCGTCAAGTCCAAAATACTCTCTTCTTCTTTGACCTCTGTTAATTTCTCTTTGAAGCATTGCTTTTGTTTCCTGTTCAAATCGTCGTATTCTTTCTTGAGTAGTTTCAGCTAAATTGACATAAGTCTTAATAGGGGGAGCACCATCGTTATTTTGTGGCGGTAAATCTAAACTTTGATCATTAGTTGTTAGGTGATCAAGACTGTCTTCAGATTCATTGAGGCTAGTACTTGAAACGGTTTCTGAACTGGCTTTTGAGCTGTTCAATTTATCTTTGTTAGACACATCCTACAATGGATAAATGAAGTATTATTAACAATTTTATAAAATGTATAGTTTTATTGCCATACGTGTTTAATATCAGATGCACTTGGAAGTACACTAATATGAGGAACTATATTATTGGTTACATTGGTACGAGACTTTCGTGATGTATTTGAATTTTTGCCAGTAGCTCGATGCATTTTGCGATTAGCTGCAGCAACAATATTGGTCACAAGGTCTTTGGCCATAAATGGCGTGTACTGATTGCCAGAAACTTTGTTGATGTTATCCAAAAGATTTTGATTTGGAGCAGTTTGTTCAATTTCTGGAACTTGTCCACAATTTTCAGGTATGGATGCTGTAAGATCTACCACATCTCCGTTGCCAAAACACCAATCAGCCTGTTGAATGAAAACAAAATAAGTAAAAAAAAAAAAAAAAATAGTAAAAATAATTATTCATTATTCATAGATATTATCATTACTTGTAATATTAGCGATTCGACAATGCGGCACTGATGACTCATATCTGTGACCATAGTTACCATGTTATCATCAGCAGAATGAACTAGAGTAGGACCAAACACAATTGCCAAGTTACGTGCTTCCATTTTGTTGACCCCACTGTGATGAACAACTTTCTTAAGGTGCATCAGCAAGTACCTTAAAGTCTCAAAATGGTGGTCTGGCAGTTTATGAACCTAGAGTACAAATACAAATCAACAACTTTTATTCTAAAAAGTAAAAACTCATTTTAACTTACTAGTTCACGCAGTTTAACCATTCGTTGAACAGGATCATCAATTTTATCAGCCTCGATGAAGTGTGGATACATTTCAGTTGTTAGTAGAGCATCGGGAAGCCTTCTAAAGAATGATTTTAATAGGCTGGAGATTACATTGACATCTGTCCATCGAGGATCTCGTTGTAGAAGCTTAAGGGCCAAATCTGGGGTTTCCATACCACCGCTGTTGACCGCTTCTGTTAGTGAAGTAATAGCAGCCGTATTACCAGGTACTCTAAAAGTTAAAACATAATAAAATATGATATTTAAATAGGTAATAATAGATGTGCATTAAAAGTGTAGAGAAAAATAATTACATACCTGTAAATACCGATGATATCCAACCCTTTTTCTTCAACGATTGATGTGCATACTTCTACTATTAATGGTACAAGCTCAGAACGAGTCGACTGCGGAATAAAACAATCATTGAAAATTTATTAAGTACAATATTTTTAAAAGCAGTCGGAAAAAAATTATTACCGGTGGACAAAGTTCCAGAGGTATGCCGATTGCAGTGCCCGGGGGTGGCGGTAGTGTGGGCATAATCGGTGATACCGGCGATCCCGATCCTTGTTGTATTTTTTTCAATTGTTTGGCCATTCGATTTTTCCAAGTATTGGTAGATTTGGGAGATTGTGGCTGTGATGCTTGGCACGGGCTACGGTCCGGTTTTCGCGTCTTAGTGATTGGAGAATCACCGGTGGGCGAACGGTTTCTGAACGTACCTAACTTACGCATACCCTTAGTATTGCCAGGCGAGATGCTCAAACACTGAAAAACAAAACCAATAATTAGGACAGTTGACATTTTCCTTTTGGTATATTTGAAATTCACCAGTATCATTATTCGGTATTTACTGATAGTATATTGGCATAGTGACCTACCTAACGAAATATACCACCGAAGACTACGTTCGTTCGTATGTAAAATTTAAATACTGCCAGTTTCAATTGTAATATACATTTAAAATATTAAAAACACATTATATTATTGTAACTATTTAACAACGAGCGAGACTGGCGTGGGCGACACACTGACACTACACTATGGGTTACGAAATCCACTTACTTCTTCTGCGGACAGAGGTGCCTGTGCCTCGAGAGCTTGCTCCTGCAATGCTTTCAACCAGCGCACCATGGACGAAGTGTCGTCGGCTTGAAGCAGTAGTTCAGTGCACCCCATGTCGGCGACGCTGGAGCAAAGTCGCATCACGTGCTTCCTCTTGGTATAGTCGTGAGCCACGTCCGTAGTGGACGTTCTCAGGTTGATACGATCGCAGGACACGTTCACGTCGTCCGACTTTTCAAGAGTTGCGGGCGTCTGTAAAAAAAACAAAGAAGGAATAAAAAAAACTCTAAAGTACCTTTGTAGTCAACATTGTTTTTTTTTTTATTTGTATATACAGTACTACAACGTAATGAAATTAAATGCGAATTATTAGTTCCTATAAAATATATATATAAATATAATGCTTATAACTTATAAGTACATAATGTATGGACATACCCAAGAACCGGTAGACGACCACCGTTTTAGTCGAGGATGTTTAGATGCCCGGAACCACACGGGTATACAAGAATACCTAAGACGGCGGTCCGGGGAACAGAATCGATTCATTTCTAGTTTCGGAAAAACCGCAGTGTAAGATAATAATTAAATCGTGCGCTATATGTAGGACGTAACTGTCCAACGTTTGGACGCAAACTGTTACTGGTCAGATCGAATCGAGGATGTGGAGGTTCTGTGGCAGGCGCGTGCCCCTATTGTCATGGGCAGTTGGGTACATAATCATAATATATTATTCGTGGCGACGCGTGTGCACGAAGCGCAAAAAAAAACCGAAAACCCGATGGCTGTGTCTCTGTTCGGCATTACGAAAGCTCTCGTGTAAACAATAACATTCGAAATTTTGGAGAAAGTGAAAGACAAAAATCAAAAGATAAATATCGCGTTATAATGTTATGCACACACACAAGACATGATTTGAGGCTGAGAAGCGTGGACGCCAGACGATCTATAATATATTATATACCGCGGGTATAGTTTTCTTCGATCGGGTTAGGTAAAATTCGTAACAATGAATTCCGCATTAAAAAAAATCAAGGTTTTATGTATAGGTATACTTACATCGGTCGAAATGTTAGGTATAGACTCTCGTTTTTCTTTGTACAGACACAACGTCTGTCCGCGTACAACGGCCCACACCGGTTTCCACGACCGATCGCATGCCTTCTGTAAACACAATAATATAATAATAATATGCGATATTATATTATACACGCCCTAAATGAGCAAAGATTTTTTTTTATTATATTTTATTTATCGTCTCACCGATTATGATATGTATTAACAAATATGTAAAGTCATATTATATAGACACTTATAGTTACAATGAGATATTATGTATGGTACACGACGGACGATATTACCTTGCCGTCGATCTGTATCACTTTGCACAGCAACGATCCTTCTTTAACCACGCGACTGTTGCCGAGGTCCTGGAACGGAGGGCCATTTTTCTTTGTTCCCAGTATGCTACTGCTACAAAAACACCGTTTAGAAGGTATGATTAGTATATATATATATAATATTAATTACGGTTTGAGACGTTTGAGTTATATAATATACAAATGCGTCGTATACGGTCAGTAAAACGTTCATAAAAGCAATTCAAATTGTTGTATACAATAACTGCAAGCACTAAATTTATTACGTCTAGTAATCAACACGGATACATGATGATTATTATTATATATTATATGAAATTAAATTTAATATTACATATTAATATTAAATTATATACATATTATACTAATTAGTATAGTGAAGTGTACCGTATAATATACGGACATCCTCAAATTCTTTATAGGTACTCAGTGGAATGTATTTTGTTTTGAGTTTTTGATATTTTCATCACATATTAATTATATATAATTACGATAAATTTATTTGTATATTATCTCTTTTTGAGGTATTTATTGAAATAGAAATTTTCCACTTTTTAAGATTTATGTTTAAAACATTATTTTAAGTTAAAATTTTTAAAATGTAATACAAGCTTCCACATAAGTTATTCTTATAGCAACTCAAAAATATCGAAAATACAGGTACAATTTTTTTTTATAGAAATTTAAAGTTTGACAAAATTGGATGTTTGTTGGAAAATTTAGTTATTTTGTTGGAATTTAAAAGAAAAATAATAACAGTAGGAACTTGAAACTTATCCTTATATGTAGGACGTAGGTATAAGATTGTTTTCTAAATTATACAGAATGACATTTTCAAATTATTTAGATTCATTTCAAGCTACTATAACCTATTCACGCACTTCTACAGTTCTACGGTATGTATACAACACGGTATTGTCTATTGGCTAGTTAATTTAAATAGTACCTATATAATATAAATATAACATGCGTTTTGTTTATGGCGAAAATTACTTCAATACAGTAGCATTTATTTTTTACTAATAGACAGATTAATTACTAAGAGTCATATAAATATACATTTTAAGATATTTTTAAAAATAGAGGCTGACATGCACTGTCTCCGCTAGGATATATTTTTCGTATGCAATGATTTATCATTTAATTAGAATTTAACTAATATATTATAATTTATGAAGTATAACCTAATCAATGGCGGATATAGATATACACTCAAAATCTATACTGTAAGTACTTACAGCAGAGTTCTCTGGTTTTTTTTTTTTTAGTTTAGGTAGGTATATATTACGAGTTACGAAACTAAAGGTTAGACGCGTTATTAAATATTAATATTAGTTATTAAAACGGCAGTTTTGGTGAGGGACACTAGACCCACTATATAGTTACAACGATTACACTATACGCTGTACGATGGCAACTTTGGAGTGTCTTCTTTGAACAAATAATTGATGTGGTGCAAACTGCAAATATTGCGTCGTTGCGCGTACACGCTTCGTACTGCGCGTCGTTGTTTACATATATTATAATAAAAAACATGCATGTCGAACGGCAAACAAAAATTGAAAAAATACGTTATTATTCATGAACTAAGTAACAGATGCATAGATAATGATGAAAGTAGTAATACATAATTCATGTAATGCGGGCTTCCAAACACCACTACCGCAGTGATGGTCGGTCGCGTGCCCGACATAACTATCAATCTAAACATCAATTAAAAAATTGGGAGGGGAGGGGATGATTTTGCTCGTAAACAGTTTTTAACGCGTCGCTGCGGGTACGCAGGTATATAGGAACAGGCATATACAGTGCACACGAAAACATTCAATATCTCTGCATAATAATATAGTTGTTTCTTAATTTCAATTTCTGTTTCAAAATTATTTTTAATTAAGTAGGTATATTTTAAATATTATTAATTTTTATAGGCCTAAGTAAAAATGCTCAAATTTTCACGACACACTTTTTGAAAAACACTGTTCTATTGGTTGGTTGGTTTATTAGTATTTGTGTTTCAATTTAAGTAATGAGGGATACTTGCAATTTTTCGAATAATATTTGTTTTGGGCAATAAGTACCTACCACGGATAAAATCATTAAGTGATTCAGTAGCGAGTAATAATTTATGAAAATCGGATTCAGAGTAAGAAAAAATTATTGGTAATGGAGCCGGTGACAAACAACTTGAATAGCCGTATAGGCACATAATAAACGCATAGCACATAAAGAAAGAAGATTACCAGACACAATAGAGCGTAATGGTTTATACTTATAGCGTATTAGGTATTATTTGTTTTTGGTTTTTTTTAAACGAACGTGGAAGAGTTAAAATAGTGATAGCATATCAAATTACACAAAGAGGGGAGCAACGCGCTCGGGAGAAATTTATAAAACGTCAAGAAAATAATATTGCTACCTAGATAATCAGTAGGAAATATTCAAAGCCTCAAAAGTAGTCGAATACAACCGCCCTTGACTACTGGTCTCAAACACTGCGTGCTAATAATAAGACACAATAATAAAACGTTATTCGATAGAATTTTTGGAATGACAAGTATACTCTTATTATAGTTTTGGATTTTAGGTTAGGGTTAGGATAAGTATTAAATAATATTATATACGTGTATCATACCTAATATCTGGTATGTGGATCGAAAAACGTATTACGACAACGAAATAATTCATAACAACAATGATTTTCATACATTATACTAGAGTACAGCCCGATCCTATAAAAATCGGATCGGCCCAGACAAAATATTTAAGACAATTTGTTAAACCGGATCAGACCAATCCCGAAAATATATTTTTCAACCCAAACCAATTTTGAACCATGCTTATAAACTTTTTATAAGCCCGGACCAGCCCAGCTCGGATTTTTATTATTTTTTTTTTAAACCAACCCGCCCAACCCGGGATCATAAGTTTTTAATAAAAACCTGGACCAGGACAAATATGCTCATTGAGTACCCAAACCGGATCATCCATATAAACCAAATTTATTAGAAACTAAATAAAATGTCACTTAAATAATTTCAATTATTGACTACCTAGTACCTAATCATCAAATTAAGTTGAGACAGAAGAAATAAGACGTTAAGAAGAAATATCCATTATTATATAGGTAGTACATACATTATAATATAAAAAAGACCGGACTGGACCATACCCAGTTATATTAAAAAGACATATAACCAAACCTAACCCATTATAATATGACTGTGCCCCGAACCGAACACCTAAACCAAGAATATAAAATATTTTGACCCAGACCGGACCTAACCCGGATCCGGTCCGGGTTTTTCCAGTCCGGTCCGGGTTGACCCGGGACCGGGCTGATCTCTACATTATACCGTAAAGGACTATAGAATATAATATTTTTAAAAAACTAGGAGAAGTCGCTCCGGTGTTGTAGGTTTGGACTTTCGAGTGTTACTTACTCCCTAAATCGTCTTTGAGTAAGAATATAATATAAGGAGTATGACGTTAAATTTGAAATAAACAATACATTTTTTTAAATTGCTGTAAGAACAACTTACTGAGGGATCTTGTATCAATTTTTTGACTAATGTCTAGTAATAGCTCAGAAAAATGAAAAATATTTTGAAAATTATATCATAAAATTATGCACAAAAGAAGGAAAATTTCAAGTATCTGCAGCAGTCATTTGGTTTTTTTCAACAAAAATCCAAAATCGATTTCGTCGAAAACCGCGATGTTGGGTAAATATTCACGTTTTTAGTTTTTTTCTGATTATTTTGAAATGCTCGGATATGTATATCACTAACTACATCTAATATATGCTACCAGAGACCACCCTAAATATTGAAAATTAAAGTATTTTTTCTGCAGCTACAAAAAGTGTCTTTACAGTTAGACGAGTTTCACGAAACATACAAAAAAAATAAAATAATTTTACCTATTGTAAAATCAATATATTCATTGATTCGCTCAGAATTTAAAATGTAAATAATACTAAATACCTATTATTAAGGGAAATATTTGTAATAATGTTATAATCCGTCACATAAACCATTTGATTTGTCAACTTGAAAACATACAAAAATAATCGATAATGCGTTTTTTTTTTGTCAATGGGGCCCGAACAACAAACATAGGATTTATGGTATAATAATAAATACTCCAAAACTAATAGAGCCCAAGGACTCGCGAGTATTAATTACTGTAGTCCTTGGCGATGCGTGATTTATAAAAACTAGGACACTATTATAGTTTTTATTCGCCATATACAAAATGTATACAATATACGCATATTATATAATAATACCATCGTCGACTTACGAAAAATCGATGTATACAATATCTATTGCCAATGCGCACTGATCGCGATAAGTGCCGCTATCTTTACGATAATAATTCGTTAAAAAACACATTTTTTCCAGAATTTTTAACATTGACGAACAGATATTTGAATTCTTCTAGAAAGATGTTCGATATCTTGTGTAATATAAAAGATTACTCTAAAGGCGGCGCGGCAGAAGGGTCTGATGTTGTGTGTCCGTAGCAAACGACGCGAATGAAACGAAATAGTTATGGAAAACAGTTGTAAAGAATAAAAGTGTTCGATGAGGACTTGAGGAATCCGAATCTAACAAAATGGATCGTGTTTCAACAAGCCGGTTTTTGGTTATTAATCAACTATCTACATTAAAAAAAAAACCATTGTCTCCAACGAGTTATTTTTTACTCCATATAAACGACTTTTTTTTTATCTTAATTATTTTAATTATAATTATTTATAGATCTTTTGCTGAGACACATATATTATACATAAAACATAAATAATGATACTATATAATATGTAATATGTATGTATAAAATATATTTATTGACAAATATTCATATATAGATAAACGAGTTTAGGAAAAAACGTTTTCAGAAATTCAGAATTATATTTGGAAAAAAATTGTTTTACGCTTTTACGTCGACAGGCCTATGTTAATAGGGTGGTGGCCTTGAGCACATTTCAACCATTATCAAACGTGTACGTACACGATTGAGGATGAAAATAAATTGTTATATCATGCAGGGATTTGAAAATATTATAGTAAAAAAAGTACTAATATATTATAT